ACACACACACACACACACACATACACATACACATACACATACACACGCACGCACGCACGCACACACACATATATATATATATATATGAATATTATATCGCTCTAACCCGGACTCAGATATCACTATTATAGCGACAACTAGCCGAGCGTCACAGCAACATATTTCGATGTGAATGAGAACTAGGTCATGATCGAGCCTGCATGGTTTAGGTATATAACCATACGCGAATATATACGTACAACAAGACGCAGGCTTATATACATGTACGCACACTAATATAATCGAAATGTTGATATTAATAACGTAAGACGAATGGTCAAGGGCCGTGGTCCGAATACTTCTCTCGACGCTCTTTCCATAGCATAACATTAGTCGTAAGCATTGATATTCTACAAACACTTACCATGGTCGTAACTACGATCTATCCGACAGCAGGACCCAGGCTCACTAAATTACATATCAGTAATAGATATGCGCTTCTCAATATATAAGTGAGCCTATACGTTGCCTATTCGCCATAGCATACGGATACTTACTGCAATACTTATTTACCAAATGATTCGTGGTCGTAATGATAGAGTGAGTGAGTATACAACGCAATGGCCTGTTGCAGATATGACCTCTGTCTGGGTCAATCACCGTCTGGGTCTATGGGGTTAGGGTGCGCGCGGTGGGTTACATTACAATAACAGCAATATAACTTGTTAGGGTTTGAAGTTTAGACAATTATAGTCGCAAAGCCCTTATTAGCCCGCAGCCCTACGATACAACGTAATGATAGAGTATACAACGCAATGGCCTGTTGCAGATATGACCTGTCGAACAACTGCAGTATGTCATGCGAGTGTGATCGCACGAGCTATGCGCCTGTCTGCGGCGCCGATGGCATAACTTACTTCTCCGGCTGCCTCGCGGGATGTGAGCGGATGGACGGCATTGCTCCTCACGAGGTTAGCAATGCATGGAAGCTATGCTTCTAGACAAGCTAGTAGACAAGCTCTGCTGTGCGCGATTATGGTTCGAGTAAAGGGTATACTGTGTCCCCTTAACGTTGGAACGTTGTTGTTGTTATTATTATTATTATTATTGTTGTTGTTGTTGTTGTTGTTGTTGATGATGATGATGATGATGATGATGATGATGATGATGATGATGATGATGATGATGATGATGATGATAATGACGACGAGGACGAATACAACGACGACCACGAGGACAACGACGACGACGACGACGACGACGACGACAACGAAGACAACGACGACCACGATGACAACAACGACTACAACGATGATGATGATGATGATGATGGGGATGACGATGACGATGATTAGGCTGCGTAATCTAAAATACATACACCTTCACACATAACTATATATAACATACACAGAACTACTCGGGCTGCGCGTGTGTCGGAGCTGACGGCACGGCGACGCATGGCTCGTGTGATACCGGCTGCTCTAACCTGACACCCTACCTCGTCGTGCTTGCCATCAGTAGCTTCGTGTCGGCCTCCACAAAGGTCGCCAGCATAACTGTCAAACTCAGGTATGCTATAAACATCAGATAGATGTTTGCCTCAACTTACAGCAGTGGGAAAAGGAAAAACCATTGAGTAGTTATTTCTATTAGAAGAATCGAGGATTCCCCCTTTCAATTTGTAAACGGGTGCATGATGTCACTCAACACACAATTATAATCTGTGTGCGTGTGTGCGTGCGTGCGTGCGTGCGTGCGTGCGTGCGAGCGAGCGTGCGCGTGTGCGTGCGTTTGTGTGTAAGCATCGAGCAAGAGTTTGTTTGAATCCATTCCTAGTATTCATGACATTGTTATCGCATGACATATGTTATCATATTATAGAAACAAATTCTTGTTATCGTGATTAACTATGTATTTCTTTTGTAGAGTCGTGGATAAAGACTTAAAATCATTGGCTTTAGGGTTCACAACATTTTCTGTGTGCGTTATAGGTAAAATTTTATTTTACTTTGAATTAAATTTAATTATTTTTTTAATTTATATATATCCTGATATATATATAATGATTGATTGATTGACTAATATTTGCTATATAAATACCTTTCTAGGAAACAAATTGATAAAATATCAATAATTAATTAATTTGGTTATCAATGTATGAAATTATATTTCTAGTCTCCATGCCGGGGCCGGTCATTGCTGGCGCTGCTATCGACACCGCCTGCATCCTGTGGCAGATTGATGGCTGCGCTGAGACAGGATCCTGCTGGGAGTACGACAACGACAAGCTACGATACATTCTACATGGCATCGCTCTCGGCGTCAAATGTATCGCCACCTGTTTCTACGCGGGTGCCTATGTATCCTGCAAAGGAAAACTAGCTGGAGTCATGAATGCGTACGAGAATGAAATTAGAGGTGCACGAGCAAAGGGTGAAAGAATTGACATGATAGATAAAGATACAGTCGCGGAATCTGCCACTTCGCCCATTACATAATAAAAAAAATGGTGATATGAGGGGTAATATTGCGGCTTTGGTCGGGTCATTCGAGTGGTTACCGCGTGATAAGGGAGAGGGATAAAGAGAGCTATGACCCGCCCAGTGCATGCTATCTGTTAATCTCGACTGTACTGGTGTTGCGGGTATGCTGGTTGTCGTCCATTCACGTCACTATATCTATCTATATCCTTGATATCATCCCCCAGAAGTCATATCTATATTGACACGTGACAACAACGACCAGCGGTCGTGAATTCACGGCCGCTGGTCGTTGTTGTCACGCATCAATATAGATATGACTTCTGGGAGGATGATATAGATAGATTGATAGCCAGCCTGATATAGTAGCCAGATTGTGTACTGGCTGGTATATATATACAACGGGGACCTTAGATGCAAGGTCTTTACTCTACTTGTTCAGTGCGGTCTGCTGATGGAATTTTGTCATGTACATCTATGCTGCTGGGATAACTCCTCTTCATTTTAAATGCATAATCGTTGCAAAATTCGATTCTTCGAGGGAGATATAGCGCATGCGCGAGCACCGTTTCAGGCGAAAACTGCATAATATAGCTAGCTGAGGGCGAGAGGAGTGGGAGATTGATGCCAGGCGGCAGGGTAGGTAGCTGAGTGGGCGGTGGCATAAGAAGCAGACTGAGCGAGGGACTAGGGAGGCAATTAAAGGGGAGGACGGGAAGGGATAAAGTAGGAGTTTTGCTCCCTCCAGGCGAGGGCGCTATCATAATTATAAACACAGGTGCATGGATACAATTGAATTCCAAAATCTATGCTAAGATACTCCACTACCATATTAAAATTAATGCATATTCATTATATGCATTCAGTATTAGTTTAATTATTTCTGTATTTAAAGTCTTTTACCAATATCGTCGCTGTACTAATGTTTATTTCTATTTATGTTTTATTGTCCCATTTGTGCAATGATATTATATTGTAATTAGCTCATTATCCTTAATTAATTATTTCTGCATTCGTATGTGTCACTTATAACTTTATTGTATTGGAATGTTAAGTTAATTGTTTCCTCATTTAAACACTGTTCTTTTCATTCTATAGTTGTATTAACATTTTACCCTATTTGTACCAGAACCTTGTTCTAATTAATCCGTATATAGCTATTGCGTTAATTTGTCTTTATTAAACTAGAACAGGGTCGTAGTCTACAGGGGGCCAGGGGGACAGCTGCCCCCTGGATTTTGAAGCAAAATTAAAAAAATAAATTGTTCTACTAAAAGAGAATTGTCGTAGTCTGAATGAAGGCTGTACATGTACTCAAAAGTGCCTCAAATACCATCTCCTGCGATCTACATTTTCAAAATTTTCGGTGGGAATTAAGACCCCAGACCCCTCACCTGTTTCTCACCCCTCCCTGAAATCCTGGATCCACCACTGACCCCCTAGGAATTTCTGGCGGTCCTACGTCTTATTCCTAAATACATATATTTTTTATATACAACTGTCCATATCAATCCTATTCAGCATAATCTTTATCTTTCGTTTGCGCTTAACAAGCAAAGACGGATCACAAAAATTTTCCGACGGGAACCAAAAGCAGGCGGTCAACAATATATAGGCCCTATACACTTTCTTCCTTTCCGATACTTTTCGGATAATTTACGGAAACAGGAAATATAATAGAGATGAATTTGCTTATATAATTCTGCAAGAGATAACAACAAAAACAACAACAACAAAAACAACAACAACAACAACAACAACAACACTAACAACAGAATTCCCTATAAACTGGTTGGCGTCTGCACTTTTTCCTGTTTACTACTTCTAACATAGCAGACCTATAGCGAGCTTATGCGTTCGTGGTGCATCGAATGGGAAAGGTGAAAGAGAGAAAGAAGGGGAAGAATGGGAAAGCCAGGAGGCAAGAGGGAGAAGAAACTCCGTCCCCGGCAGCCCCTCCCCCCCTACCGAAAACCCACATGCACACGATTCATACCAAATCTACTCATCGAATCCAAATAGAAAATCACTAATATCCGTATCTACATCTGCAATCAGTACATTTCGCGTCACATGACCACAATCGATTATCTAAGTTGATGTCTCGTTCACTAATTAGCCAAAGGGATTTCACATACAATTTAATCGGATTTGATCCACACAAAATCTATCAGTATAATCCAAATAAAAAATAAATATTATCCCTATCTATATGATCTGGTAGCTGCAATCTGCATAACTTTCGTACAACACTTGCTCGCAATCTATCAATGAACTAGTGTCATATCATAGTTAGGAAGTTAATGTCTCGTTCACTAGTTAACCACACCTTGAATGAATCCATATCAAATCTATCCATGTAGAGAGAGAAACTTATACGATCACCACGAGTCCACACGCTCTCGCTGTCTCTTCACTCTTGGTTCGAGCCACGACAAATGTATCTATTTCAACTACGTGTGTATTCCACAGCCGTCATGAAGAGAAGTACATCTCGAAAAGTCGCCAATTAAATTTTAAACATCGCTAACTATTATTTTTTTTCTTTTTTA